CTTTTTTAAGCAGACTCTGAAAACTGTCTCGAGTCTAGATAAGAGATCAGACTGTGAGCAGGCCAACCAAGCCTGCAGGGCCAGACCTGCCTTTTGCACTGCCTGCAAGGTGAGAATGTTTTCACGTCCTTGAAGGGCTGTAAGATAGAATGGAAAGAATACGAGGCAGAGCCTGTGTGACCTGTGGAGCGTTAGGTATTTGCTCTCCGGCCTCTGCAGCAAAAGCTTGCCAACGTCTGGCCATCCACCAGCGGTCACTCTGCAGCGTGCTCGCACAAGCCCGCTGGGCCTCCTCATCTCTACAGTGGTTCCCTGGGGACGGCTCCTCTGCATAAAGGGTGGGAGGCATCAGGGGATGGGACCCCTCCATTCTCTCCTGTATCTCCAGGCCTTATGGTGGAAAGACCAGCCGCTGTCTGTGGTCCTGAGTCCCACCTGCTCCGGATCACCGGTGATCTCTGTACCTAGCACTTTATCCAGAACAGAATGAACTTGACTCCTGGATGAATGGCCACCTGTTCACCACACGATCTGGGTGTCTCTTGCGAGGCAGGTGTGCCCGGTGGAAGCTTCTGGTAGCTCACTCTGCACCATATCCTTGGGCTGCTATGGCAAAGTGCCACAGAGCGGGGGGCTAAAACCACAGAAACCTGTTTTCCCGTGGCTCTGGAGCTAGGATCCCAAGACCAGCGTGTGGGCAGGGCTGGTTTCCCCAAGGCCTCTCCTTGCAGATGGCCACCCTCTTGCTGCCGCTCCAGAGCGTTGTCCCTGCCCGCATGCACACCCCTGGCGTCTCTCTCTGTCCTTATTGGATTAGGGCACACCTATATGACCTCATTGAAATTGTCACACCTCTAGAGGCCCCACCTCCAAATGCAGTCACATTTTGAAGTTACTGCATGTTCAGATTTCAACATATGAATTTGGAGGGAACACATTCAATAGGTGACATCCCCCAATGGCTATAACTACAAAGTTATAACGCCTTGTAACTGTAGCTGATGATGTCCCATGGTATTGACGAGCATGAACGGAGCACCCACCTTGCCCGTCGGGTGGCGGGAGGGCCAGCCTCCCCTCAAACTGCTCATTCATCCTCCATGGTGTGCAGCCGGCCCTGGGACACTCCCCACTCGCATCCCCACAGATGCCCACCTGTGGAAGGTGAGTCGGGGGGGAGGCATCCAGAATCGGCTGCCCCTGTGCCACTTGCCCGTCCCCTGTCTGCCACCTGGATGCCAAGCCCAGGGCATCTCCTGACACAGTGGGAGAAGATAGTGGGGAAAGCCTGGCCCCTGAGTCACCCGTGGAGTAGATCCTCCTGCAGATCGGCTGTGAGGGGTATCGCCTTCGGACTCTGTTACTGCGTCTGGTCCGTGCTGGCCCAGGTCTGTGACCTCCCCCATCACCTCCACCTTGTGCGGGAGTTCCGGCATAACCCCACTTAACAGGTGAGGAGACGCCCAGGGAGCTCAGCGATCGCCAATTGGTAAGTGGCAGAACCGGGATCCCCAACCCCAGACAGAGCCCACTTTGACCCCTCGGCGACTGCACAGACCACAGGCCAGGGGCCAGTACAGGTCTTCCCCCAGATGCAGTCTGTGTGGCCTGTCCAGTTCTGGCCCAAATAGTGTTTCTCAGATAAACATGGGGTTTTGGTGTCATTCAGAGAACAGAGACATCATGCATAGAAGGCCTGGCTTTCCAGCTCCGTGATGAGCGAAGTGCTCTGAGTCTTGTTTCCGTCCGCTGAAAAACTGGGATAAGAGTAATGCTCCAGGTAGTAATCATTTATGTATTCATGAGTATTTATGGATTATTTTATTATGGACAGTAAGACTATCATTGAGGCTGTGAGTGAGGCATCCATTGGAAAATGTGCGTGCATGACTCGGAGCACTTCATGTTTACAAGAATCGCACCCAGCATGTCGGTGGGGGTCAGTGGGGGGTCTGGTTTAAGAGCAGATCGGTTTCCTGTATTCCCAGAGCCCCCTGGCCCTCCCTGGGGGGCTTGCCTGTGCCCTCCATGGGTTCCTGCAGGACAGGGCCCTTCCTCCCATCCCTGAGGCTGTGGGTTGGAGTCCAGCCTCCCAGTCCGACCATTCCCAGGCCAGGAATCCAGGACTGCGAGGGGTGGTTGGCCGACCCAGGAGAACCCTCCTCGTACCCTAGGGAGGGTGTGCTGGCTCCTGAGGCTCTGGTGGGGTCCCCAGCAGTGGGGTAGCACCCAGGCAGCGAAGGGGAAGGGCCGCTTCCCTCCACCTGAGTGCCCTCAGGCTGCCTCTTGGCCAGAAGCTGGCAGGGAGCCTTGCCTAGCCATCCACACTGAGGCCCAGTGGGGGAGACTGGCTCTGGCTGGGGTGCCAGGGTATTAATCATGCCTTTTCTTTTCTGATGCTCTGACATCCTGGGGCCTTGCTGACTCTGGAGAGGCTGCCCCTTCCAGGGTAGCTAATGCCCAGAGAATGGAAATTCTTGGCCTAGAGATAGGAAACAGCAGGCCTATAAACACAATTTCAAATGCAAACCGACCCATTAGGGCCCACACCCCAAGAACTGCCTCTGTGGGGCTCTCACCTCCCCCCACTATCCCCCCAGGGCAGGTACCAGACCACTCAGCCCCGGGGCCCCAGAGACCACTGAGATGATTCTGACCAGTGACCCCCGGCCTGCCTGCTGCGCCTCACCCGATCCTTCCTTCACGGGGCTGTGGATGCGGGGGTGAGGGGCACGGGCTGGACCCAGGTCTCCAGCGAATAGGCTGGGTCAGGAAGGCAATGGGCTGCTTCCCAGGAAGACTCGCGCCCTTGGTCACGGCCCAGGTGCCAGCATTTATTGAGGGCCTAGCGTTGGCTCATTCATCGAGCATTTACCGAGCACCCTCGATGCACCAGGCACGAGTCCTAAAGGCGAGCAAACTGGACAGACCCAAAGCTCTGCCCTCCTCCTAGTGAGGAAGATGACGGCAGAGAAATAAAATGGGCACTAAGAAGGCCTGCAGTCTGAGGAGGAGTACGAAGCAGGGGGCTGTGGCCACAGGGCGATGGTGCCCTGCAGGGCCCCGCAGGGAAGCAAGCCACGTCTCACTGTCCCCCACCTCATGCATGCCCCACTCTACAGCTCCGGGGTATCCGTGTCGTGTACTGACTTACCCTACTATATATCTTCTTAAATACACATCTTTTATTATACATACACATAATGCATATTATATAAAATAATAGATGATACAATTATATAACTACATATTACATAACAATATTACATATACTATAACATATATATGTATAATGTTAAGTATGAGCAGGAAAAGCACGCACTTCTCCTGTTTCCCCCACACCAACCAGTTCTATGACACCAGCTGGGAGTCCTGTCATTCAACTTGAGTATCTACCTAGAGAGCATCGGGTCCCCCAGGGTACGGCTCAGACCTGCAGTATCGCCCCCACACCCACCCGAGATGCCAGTCACAAGTCCAGGCTGCCCCCTGCACTTCTAACCGACCGGTCATAAACCAGACGTGCCCACAACCTTCCCTGGGTCCCACTAATTTGCTAGAGTGGCTCACGGACTCAGAGAAACGTTTTAGTCACGGGATCAATGGCCTATCAGAGCGCATATGATAAAGGACGCAGAAGAGCACACAGGGTGGGGTCCGGGAGGGACCCGAGCGCAGCGCTTCTGTCCCCGTGGGCTGGGGGTGGCCCCCTCCCAGTACGAGGATGTGCTCACCACCCGGAAGCTCTCTGAACCCCCACTGTGGAGGCTTCCTCAGCAGGCATGGTGGGCCATCTACCGTAGGTGTTCCCTCCGCCACCTCGGGAGAAACGCTGCTGAGCTTCCGGCGCCTCTTTCGGGCCCTTTGGGACGAATCCCACCTGTCCGATCACAAGCTCCTGTTCTCCCTTCCTTGGGTCTGTCCGAACGTGGGTCATGTAATCGGGACACCACGTGCCGCACCCGCCGCATCCTCCCCGCGGCCCAACACCCTACCCTGTTTCACGCTTTTGCCTCATTCCCTGTGTCCTGGCCCTGGAACGCGAGCCCTGCCACATGGAGGCCTTGGTTTCATTTGGAGCGGACCCATCGCCAGCTTCCAGATCTGCATCCTGGTGCTCAGTAAATGCGGCTGAAGGGGTGTCTGCCAGGCTCCTGATAATTCCCCAGCGGCTCCTGTCTGAGGCCTCAGTTTCCCCATCCCATCCCAGTTTCCCAGGGCAAGAGAAGTGGTGCGGATGGAGGTCCTCCGTCCTTTCCCATCTTATGAGAGAATTGGAAGGGCGCGGAGACGTCTGGCAGGGTGAGGCTGCCTGTCTCACCTCGTGAGCAGGGGTGAAGATGCCAGCAGACTGGGCACTGGACGGCACAGGAGAGTGGCTGTGGGCACAGCTGCCAGAGACCCAGCATCTGGGCTCTCCAGGGGCCTGAGGGGCCACAGGTCCTGTGTGTTCGTGTTAGTAGAAGACCCGTGTCCCATGCCCCGTCTTGCCTGCACAAACTGACCCAACAGCCTGTCACGCGGAGCCTGATGGGAGCCTCCACCTGGCCCCAGACATACCCCCGGTCGGCACTTCCCACCAACACCAGGCTTGGAGCGCAGTCAGCTGCTGACGGACTACGAGGCGATTCGGCCACTTGGGGTCCAGGTCCCAAGACTCCCAGCCTCATGCGGTGTCCACCCAGCTCGGCCCAGCCCTGCGCCAGCTGCATCCCCGGTGGGTGGCAGTGGGATGTACGCAGACTACATGGAGTGGGGCAGGGTTTGGGTTTTTCTTTTACGAAAACAGAGAATGAGAGAGGGAGGGGGAGAGCATGAGGAGGAGGCCCTTATGGAAAGGGGGAGCCGGAGAACCGCAGCTACGGCTCTAATGCTTCGTGTCTGGACCAAACTCACCGACGCCCACGAGGCTGCCAGACATTCGACCTGTCGGCCATGATGATGCACGTCTGAGTGACTGCTTTGCCTACTTGCAACAGAAAGTGAGCTTACTATGTGAATGATTTTTAAAAACGAATTATTTATTCTTTGTGTACACCAGTGTCAGGAAGTGCGGGACATTTGGAAACACCAGGACATCTGTGGTGAGCAGCACAAAGGGTTAAAATAAAGGGTGGCATGGAAGACACCAGAGAAAGGAGACTGGGGGAACTCCTGTAAACTTCAGGTCGGCCTTGGGAAACACCCGGAGGTGCCCTCAAGTTTAGCTTCAAAAATAACCCTAAGAACGGATGGTCTGTGCCCCGACGCGCTTGCTCCTTCAGTCCCCAAGTATTTACACTTGAAGGCCAAGCCTCTGGCTGCTCCCCGGCCTGCCCCTCTCTCCACAAGCACTGACGCGGATTTTGACAGGGCAACTGGTACCTGTATTTTTCTGCAGCTGATGACTATTCAAAATGACATTGGTCTCCCTTAATTAAAAGTGTTATTTTTTAAAAAATTTAACAGACAACTATGGAAACTGTGGCATCTGAAGTGGCTACTGTTATTTGCTAATTCAAAAAAAAATTGTACCCCTCACAAACAACTTGCCAACTTCCACGCTACTGGCTGGGGGCTTCCAGCATATTTGGTAAGAAGTTCACAGGGGCGCCGGGCTTGGGAAGGACGCAGCCCCTCTCGTGCCTACCCTGCCCAGCAAGCTCGCAGGTGGAGACTGTAAGGCTGGAGGCACCGGAGGGAGGGGTGAGCACGTCAGACACTGATGATGTACCAAAGTCCCCGGCTGCTGCCCCCTCCCAACCTGAAAAGGGTGCCTCAGGCTGGCCAATCCTCGCGCCGCCGTAAATCTAAGCTCTGCCTCCCCCTGCCTTCTTCAAAAACTCGCTGCCTGCCCGGCTGGGCGCGACTTCCCTGACCTGTGACTAGCCAGACCGGGGAACATCGCCGGAATTGCGCTCAAATAAACTGCCTGGCCCTTTGTTGCCTCTCGTCACCTGCTTATTTTGGTTAGAATTTATCTTACAGAGACCGCCTGCTTCTCAACTGGCTCCAGGGTGTGTGGCTAGGGAGAAATGTCCTGTGTTCACTGCGGGAGACCCGGGGCCCTTGAGGCTTCGTCCACGCTCTTGCAACGATTTACCCAGAGACGTGGTGTGGAACCGGATGCCCTCGCGTCCTGGCGCTCCGTAAGCTGCCAGCCTCAGGGAACCACCCGTGTTCCCTGAAACAGCAGTTGCACAGGGCCTTGCTGACCGCTGGCACAGGCATGCGCCCCGGAGGGCAGGAGCCTGTCCCATGCCCCCACTCTGGGAGCCGCTGGGGCGGGCCTCGCCTCACACCGGCCACCCGGGGGTCCCATGTCAGAACTTCCCGGGCGGAGGGCCCGCCAGGTGTGGGTTCTGGGGCGCACTATGGCAGGCCCCCTAGGTGTGGATCCTCGGGTGTCACGTCAGGTTGGTGTTGCGGCTGAAGGCCTTGCTGCACTCGCCGCAGCTGTAGGACCCACCAGCTGTGGGTCCTCTGGGGGACGGTGAGCGAGGAGTTCTTGATGAAGGCCTTGCCCCACTGGCCACACCTGTACGGCTTCCCCCCGGTGTGGATGCGCTGGTGCTCCATGAGGTAGGCGCTCTGGCCGAAGGCCTTGCCGCACTGCGCGCACGCGAACAGCTTCTCGCCCATGTGCGTCCGCCGATGCTCCGTCAGGTGCATGTTCTGCCTGAAGGCGCGCCCGCAGTCGCCGCACACGTATGGCCTCTCCCCGGTGTGCGTGCGCTGGTGCACGACGAGATGCATGTTCTGCCTGAAGGCCTTGCCGCAGTCGCCGCGCGCGTACGGCTTCTGGCCGGTGTGCACGCGACGGTGGATGGTGAGCGAGGAGCGCTCCATGAAGGCCTTGCCACACGCGGCGCACTGGAAGGGCTGCTCCCGGGTGTGGATCCGGCGGTGCTTCAGCGGGGACGAGCTCCGGCCGAACGCCTTGCCGCACTCCGTGCAGCCAAAGGGCTTCCCCACCGCGTCCGGCGTGGAGGGCGCCAAGCCCCTCGGGATGCTCTCCCTGCGCATGCCCAGCCGCCGGGCCCCCTCTTCTCTCGGGGGCTCGCGCGGCGGGGAGCCCAGGGCAGGGCCGCGGCTGACCGAGGCCCGAGGCTCACACCGCCCGGGGTCCAAGGCCCGGGCCGGTCCCGCGCGCTCCGCACAGGCCCTCGTGCTTCCCGCGTCCACATGCCCCCAAAGGCGGGGACCCACGCGCCGCTCCTCTCAGGTCCCTGCGCGACCGCCCCGACCAGCGCTCTGTCTTCCGCAATGACCTCCTTGGGACCCGATTCTTTCATTTCAGGTCTAGTCTCCAAGTCTGGCGGGAAAGAAGACGACATACACGTGGTTAGCAATGCTGGGAGGCCTTCCGAGGCGGGGCGAGCGCGCCCCAGGGCGCAGACTGAGCAGCCTCCCAGTGGGCCGACGCGCGCGGGCATCAAGGAAGCGGGTCTGCACAGGTGAGCAGAGAGCCGGAGGGGCGCCCTGGCGGGGTGGCGGGGACGCCTGAGCGCCGACAGGCGGGGCAGCGGTGGGGAGGCCCTGGCAAACCGGAGGAGGGGCTTCGGCCGTGAGTCCCTCACTTCCGGGTTCATCCCCAGGCCCCGGCCTGCTGCGCTTCTCACAGCGCCTGTTTGTTAGAGGTGACGAACGGTTGGCTGGGTTCCCGGCAGGGCCCGGCCCTGCCTCCTCGGCCCCCGCCGGCCGCCACGCGGCCTGCCGGAGCCCCGCGCGCCCCTCTCCCAGCGGCAGCAGGTGCCCCTTAGAGCTGGTCCCAGTCCCTGCGCTCCCTGCACTGTGGGGAGCGGGCTATGCCCTTCCCCCACTTGCCGATGTGGCGGGAATAGAGAACAAAGAACATTCTGTTTAGGCACTCCATGAGCAGCGAACGGGAGCCCTGCTGTAGCTCCGTTGGTAGAGCATGGGACTCTTACTCTCAGTTGTGAGTTCAAGCCCAACTAGGAGCGGCAGAGGGAAGTAGCCGGGTAAGTGGCTGGCGACACGTGGGAGCGTCACCCTCCCAGTTCTTTGGTCTTTCTTTTCTTCGCCCCCCGCTTCCGCACTTCAGGACCGCGTCACTGCACACCCCTTCCCTGGTGGTCGCAGCCGTGCCGTGGCTCCAAGCCGCCCGGGTGGGCCCCAGGACCACCGCGTTAGGCCCCTCCCCTAACCGCACCGGCGCTCAGGCTGCGCCCGGGGGCCTGGATGTCGGCATCTGTGCACCCAGGCGTCCCCAGTTTACGCCTGGCACCGACGCGCGCTCCGAGCTCCGCTTTGGAATATCCAGGGGCCTACCTGGCGGCGCTCGTGGGTACCGCAAGACATCTCATCGGAACCTCCGCCCCCCACCAAGGATAAAAAGAAATAAAGGTTCACCAAAGGCACAACAAATTAGAACAGAAGGACCAATACTGTGTGATTCCACTCCCATGAGGCCCCTACCAGTGTCAGGATCACGGGGCCGGAGGGCGGGGTGGCGGGCCCCGGGGAGGGGTGGGGCCTTAGTGTTTAATGGGGACAGAGTTTCAGTTCTGCAGGTGGAAGAGAGGCCGGGAGGTGGGTGGCGACGGCTGCCCAGCAGAGTGAGTGTACTTAATGCCATTGACCTGCACACCTAAAATGGGTAAGATGGTAAATTTGATGTTATGCATACTTTACCACAGCTTAAAAGACCGAGCAGTCATCCTTGACTCCTGCCATCACTCCCACCACTCAGGATATCAAAAGGGCCACTGGACACAGAGAACAGCTCAAGCTGGACCAGATCTCTCCATCACCATGGCCAAGGAGCCAGTTGGCCACCGAGGACTTCCTGCCCAAAATGTGGCAGCAACTGCCACCCCTGCCCCTCTACAGCACACGCTGCCCTCCGCCCTAAGGAGGCCTTACCAGCTAGACCGAACCCCCCAGCTCCTGCCCAGTGCTGAAAATCAGGGCCAGCGCCCTCCCACAGCGCACAAGGGCCCTCAGGACGGGGCAGGGGCAGGAGAAAGGAGGCCACCTTCCCTCCATGGACTAAAACCCTTCAGGAAGGACCATCAGGAAAACAGCAACCACCCGACTCTCATCTGGGAGAACTGACAGCGCAGCTCGACGTCAGCCACACTGAGACGAGCCCCCCACGGTGCCTTTCCCCAGTCAGATCGGCCAAGAGGGCGTGCGCGGCTGGCGATGGTCCACGTGGACACGCCTGCCTGCGGTCAAGGGAATGTTAACAGGACCGTGTCCGCAGATGCCGTTTCGGCAAAACACCATTCATTCCTTTCATCTGCGTGCGGATCTTTTTTCATGGTGGTAGATTTCTTGTCCTTCATAGTTTCTTTTCCCATATTGTATTTTCAGTTGTTTCTGATCACAAAGTAATTCACTTGTTACTAAAACACCACAAAATAACTTATAAAATGTAAGTCTCCTGCAATATCCCCCATTTGAGTTACGTTTGGTGTATGTTTTTAGAATCTTTTTTCTATGCACACCTTTTTAAAAAATACACATACCTGTATGCACACACACATATGAACACACACTTTTTTTTCTAAAATGAGGCTCTGCCCAAGATAGGGTAACAGGGACAAGATTTCCCTCCAGTCTACAGCCTAAAGCAAGCCGGGGTGGGGGTGGGGAGAAAGGACAAAATATATTAAACAAAGAATTTCCAGACACTGGACATCAGGCAACAATGGGCAGTAATTCCTGAGAGGTGGAATCAAAAGGGAGGCCCTACGACCACCCAGCTCACTCAACCGGAAAGCTTACAGCCGAGGCGTGGGGGGGAACTGAGGCCAACCCCAGTGGACAGTCCCTGAGTTGAGGAGATGGAACTGACAGGGGAAGGCAAGTGGAGGTCCCAGGACTTGGTACAGGAGAGGAAAGCTGTGCAGAAAGGGCACTCCAGAGATGGGCAAGGCCCTCCCCCCAACACTCAGATTCCTGGACAGAACATGCATAAATGAAAACTACCCAAAGCTGGGGAAAAAGCAGCTGGGAGGACTCGAAAACAGTGCCCCAAGCTGACACGGGGCCTTCTCACACCCAATAGCCATGAACTTGCACCATATGACGCCTGGCACATTAGGCAGCACACTCAGAGGGCCTGCGGGCAGTAGGCCATCCCAGACTGACCACAGCATAAAGGCACACACAGGGCAGACTGAAGGACATGGTGTTGGTCCTATGACAGGCAGATGGACGGAACAGTCCTCTAGAATTAGGCTCACACGTACAGTCGATTTTTTTTTACATAGCGCAAAGGCAATTCAGGCAAAATTTTTCAGTGGGAAAACTTAGAAATTTTCAACAAATGGTGGTGGAACAAGTGGACACCCATTTGACCAAAAAAAAAAAAAGATTGTGAGTAAACATTTTGCATCATTACAAAAATTAACTCTAAAGAGATCAGAGCACAAAATACAAAGCCTAAAACCATATATTTTCTAGGAACCTTGTGGCCTTGAGGCACAATCCCTAAGGAAGGTAACTGATAAACTGGACTTCCTCGAATTAAAAGCTTCTGCTCTTTAACACACAGTACTGGGGCACCTGGATATCCACATTCAAAAGAGTGACATTAGATCTCTTTTCTATGTCATCCACAGAAATTGACCCAAATGGACCAAAGGCCTAAATAAAGAGCAAAACTATGAGACTCTTAGAAGGAAAAATAGGAGTAAATTCATGGCCTTGGGCTAGAAAATGTTTTCTCGATAGGGCATCAGAAGTACAAGCAACAATAACAAAATAAAGAACTACATCGAAAATGTTAAATGTTTGCATTTTAAATGATGCCATCAAGAAAGAGAAAAGACTACCCATGGAATGGGAGAGAATATTACAAGGCATGTATCTGATAAAAGACATATCAAGAATTTGTATATAAAAAGAATATACAAAGGAATTTCAAAATTTAATAATAAGGAAATAACCAACCCAACTTAAAAAAAAGGGCAAAAGGCTTGAACAGATATTTCACCAAAGAGCATATAGAGATGCAGATAAGCACATGGGAAGATTCTCAGTATCAACTAAAAACTACCATGTGATAACTACACACCAATGGGAGTGGCTAAAATGAAAAAGACCAAGCATACTAAGCTCTGACAAGCACACAGAGCGACTGGAACTCCCAGGTACTGCTGGTGGAAATGCAAAATGGTATATCCACTTTGGAAAAAAGTCTGGCAGTTTCTTAGAAAGTTAAATATGCACCAATCATATGATCTAACCATTCTACCCCCTGGTGTTTACTCAAGAGAAAGAAAAGCATGTGCTTAGAGAAAAGCTTGTACATGTATGTTCATAGATATTATTTCTAATAGTCCAGAACTGGAAACAACCCAGATGTTAATCAGCAAGTGAGTGGATAGATTGTGATCTAAACATAACGCAGAACATATACCTCAACAATAAAGAGTGAACGATTGATACTTACAACATAGGTGAACTTCAAAATAATTATGTTCAGAGAAGTCAGACCAAAAGAACAGTACATGCTGTAAGATTCCAGGCACAGAGAATTCTAGAATATGCAGATTAAACTGCAGTGACATAAAGCAGACCAGTGGCTGCCTGGTGATGGAGGGTGCATGTGCACGAGGGAGGGAAATACCACAAACGGGCACAGGAAACTTCTTGGGGTCATGGATATATTCATTATCTGGACCATGGTGGTGTTTTCCCGGGTGTATACAGATGTCAAATGCATCAAATTGTTTGCTTTAAATAAGTGCAGCAAACTATTCTTCCACAAAAGCTGTTAAAGACACGTGACTATACTCCAGTTCTGAAAGTTAGTGTTTTTCCTAACTGTGTACCAAGGGACATGCTCCCATGTTGGTGCCTATGAAGGGTGCTCACCTTTGAGGAGCTGCAGGGTTTCTATCATATCAAAACACGCTTTGACATGTTTAGTCAGTCTCGTACAGATGGGCATGCAGGTCATTCCTCTTTTTCTTCCTGTGTAAAACTTTGCACACCTATAGGAAGATTTCTAAAGGATAGATCCCTAAAAACAGAATCATTAAAACTTTGGTTGATAATGCCAAACTGTTCTCCAAAAGAGTTGCTGCAGTTTTATACCCTAAAATGAAAGAGTCCCTTTTTCCCTACACCCTCAATAGGCTATTACTTTCTTTTTCATCTCTGTGTACTTTATGGGCAAAAAAACATTTCACTGGCTCAATCTATATTTCGTTTGACTGTTAGTAAGGTTTAAATATCTTTTATAAGGTGTAACTGTATTTCTACATCTATGAATTGCCAGCTCATAAGTTTGGTCAACATTTCTATTATTCAGTCTTTTTCTTATTTATTCCTAGGAGCTCTTTCTATAATTATAATCCTGACAGTTATACATGTAGTAAATATTATTTCCCATTTTACTACCTATCAACTTTATGTTGAGCTTCAAGTGATTTCAACTTTTATGTAGTCAAATCTGTCAAACTTTGTATTTCTCTGTGCTGCTCAAGTGACAGGCTGATGGTGAGTGCCTCAGTGAAGCTGCCCACTTACCCAGCGAGACCAGGTTCCTGTAGGTCTCCAGCATCACATCTCTGCACGGGTTCTTTTGGGCAGGCTGCAGCCGCTGCCACTCCTCCTGGGGGGAGTCCGCAGCCACATCCCTGAAGTCACTGACTCCTGCAAGAGGAAACGCACAGCCCCCCACTGTGGGGCCCTCCTTACGCAGGCCTGGAGAAATGGCCAGAAAGGCTACGAGGATTTAGGGAAGGCACACAGGATGTATCTGAAGTGATTTCAACAAGGTGTGGGCTCACGAAGGGACTGACCACTCCCAGCTTTCTTGGCGGCTGTGTATCTTGGGATGGTCCCCTGATGACAGAGAAATAAAACAAGCACAAGGTTGTTCAGAGCAGAAAGTCACAGATTTGAGAAACAGAAGCGATCAAAGGTGAGACCCTGACCCAGTGGTTTGACAGGTGCACTAGGAGCCCAGCAAAGGCAGAATCCTGGGTGGAATCAGTGACTCAGCAAACCCTCGAGCCCCTACTAAGCTCTGGGCCCTGAGCTGGGTGCTGGGACACGGACACGGAAGGTTCAAGCAGGTGATGGGAAAGGCAGACAGAAATAAACATAACTGACCCACGGTCTGGTCAACACCACCATGAAGGTATGAACAAAACCTCTAGGCGCCTGAGCAAGAGCAGCCTCAGGGTGTATCCAGGAAGCCTTTGGAAAGGTGACACTGAACGGTGTTGGGGGAGAATTAGTGTAGTACTTAAGCCCCTGTGGGGAGAGTCTGGAGGAGGGAAGAGTTTGGACCAAGACCTGAGGCTTAACGGGCAGATTGGGCCCTTGTGGGGTGGTGAGGAGTTCATGGGGTGGGGGTGTAAGGGCCTTCCAGCCGATGCCGCCAACCCCGTGGATGGAATGAACATGGCTGAGCCCAGATGACGGTGGTGACGATGTCCTCAGTCCTAACAGTGACAATGCTTATTGATCAACACACAGTTGCTGGGTGCCAGGTACTACCTAAGTGCCTGTTACAGGCTGAATTATGCCCCCTCCCACAAATTCATATGTTTAAGTCCCAACCCCCAGCAGCTCGGAAGGGGACCTTATGTGGAAACAGTATTGGTGCCCATGTAATTAGTTAAGACGAGGTCACACCAGAGTAGGGGGGGCACTTACCCCAATACAGCTGGTGTCCTTATAAAAAGGAGAAATCCAGACATGGGGGTGCACACGAGGAGAACACCACGGGAAGGTGGAGTGGCACTGTCACGGCCAAGAACTGCTAGGAGCTGGGAGAGCCCTAGAGCCGAACCTCCTCTGAGCCCTCGAGGGGCGCCCCCGTCTGCCGACACCTTGAATTCGGACTTCTTGGCTCCAGAACTGTGAGCGAGCATTTCTGCTGTCCGAGCCCCCGGACTGCGGTGCTTTGTCATGGCAGCCTCGGCAGACCGGTGCGCCTGTCTCGCTCATTACTGTGCCCCCGTGATCAGAACAATGCTGTCATACACTAGGTGCTCAATAAGGAGCTCCTGAATGAATACGCGGCTCAATGAGTAAAGATGATGAGAAGATTCAATGAGTTTGGGGCTCAGAACAGTGCACGGCACACAGCAGGCGTTCGGTAACCACCAGCTGCGGCTACAGCTACCCTCAGGTCCTCGGCTCTCGGCTCCCCGAGCCACCCCACCCAGGGCCCTGAGCCCTCCTCGAGAGGGCGCCCCACCTGCTGCCCGGTCCTTTCGGGATCCCGAGCCTGCCGGCGCCCTGGGCGCATGCTGGCCTCCTCTGCTTCACAGGCCACCACCACTCGACAAAGAGGCGGCACAGGGCAGAGGCTGGAGCCTGGGCTCCGTAGCCTGGCGGCCTCTGACTAACTCCTGGATCCGTTCCTCCCCTGCTGTGTTTCACCGGGCAACTCTCTTAACCTTTCTGAGCCTCGTTTGCTCAATGGGCTCATGACAACAATGCATGTCTGGTTCCGGCACAGTGGCTGGTATGGCTGGAGCAAGCGCTTGATGAATGTCAACTCTGGCAATTATCATTTGATTAATTTTGACATTGTATATGTACTGTATTCATATTTATTATTATAGTTATTAATATATGGCATCATTATTCGACACACCCCTTAGTCCTTCTAATAATTCCTTTTCTTAAAAAAATGCTTTATTATGATGGGCATATGAAAAGCTGTACACATTTAATTAATACAACTTACTTAGTAAGTCTGGAAAGCGCACACGCATAAAACCATCACCTCACTCAAGGCCATAAACTTATACGTCACCTCCGAGAGTTTCCAACCACCTCCTTTCTTACTTCACTTCAATTTCTTTAACATAGTAATTCCTTTGGAAGGTTTTCCCTAAGTGTGCCGCACCTCAATGAACTTGCTCAATAAATAAACTTTTTACTGAGCAGGCTCTGTGTGCCGAGGCATTTAACAGAGAGATAGAAGTCCTGCAGCCTCCGCCTCGCGGCAAAGGATGTTGGGAGGGCAGGTGCGGGCCTGCCCTCTGTGGAAGGGCCCCGAAGTGAGGTTTAACCCCAAACGTGCCAGACTCTGAATTCTTTGCGTGAAATGTCCAAGGCCACCCGTTCTATTGCCTTGTCTATTTTGGTTTCCCGTCTAATGGCACAAACCTATTAGCCACAAAGGAAAACCTCACCAAATTCCAAAGGCCTGAAAACATAGAGGCCCAATTAAAAAAAAAAATCAGAATGTAATTTCATTAGAAGTGATTAAGGGAAAAAAACACTTGAAAATCCCACCTCTAATGAAAAACAATCGGCAAGTCCTTCTAAATAATGTAGGGAAAGAAGAAATGAAGACAGCAATCATACAAGAGTTAAGAATGAAGACACGATGGTGCACCTGCCTTGGAAAGCAGTGCAATAGCTCGCTAAGCGATAAACAGAGTCGCGCGAGCCAGCAACTCCACCCCGAGGCCTGCAGCCCAGATGCAGGGCGCATGTTCGGACGGAAAGCCGCACAGTAGCGTCTGCTGCCTCACCGACAATAACCGAAACTGCCCGCAACCCAAAGGCCATCACTTAATGACGGATAAACAAAACGTGGTCTGTCCTATCTGGGCACTTTTCAGCCATGAAAAGGAATGAAGTGATGGTACTTGCTACATGTTTGAACCTCAAAAACATCATGCTCCGTGGGAGAAGTCAGACGCTAAAGCTCACACATCGTGCGACCATACGGAATCCCCAGAACACGCAAATCCAGACACAAAAAGCAAACTAGTGGTTGCCAGGGTCTGGGGGTCGATGGGGTAAATGGGAGAGAATGCTAATGGGTACTGATTTCTTTTTGGGGTGACAACATGCTCTAAAATTGAATGTGGTGATGGTTTTGCGACTCTGAATATACAGGAAACCAGTGAATTGTACACTTGTGGTAGGTGGGGTGTATCTCAATAATGGTGTTAAGCAGATGAAGACACGACAACCCAAAATTCACAGAAAAGTGAACTGACGCATTAATATAGCAAAATAAATTGCAGGTAGATACAAAAGATTTAAAAGTTCACTGTTAACATCCAAGCAGTAAGTGGAAAAAAGGAAGAGAACATAGTGATCACCTTACAGATGATCTGTGGACAGAAAGACCCTTTTACAGGTTAAAGATATTGGAAGACACCAGAGGAAAGACAGATTCAATTTTAAAAACAGGGAATGCTTCTGTACACAGGAAACATAAAGTAAATAAGGAACAAAAAGCAAACGTGGGAAGAGTATTTGCATAAGTATTCGCACATACACACGCACTTCTTTATAATCTTCAAGCACACTAAGATCCCTGTAGACTGGTAAAGCACAAGGTAGACCACGTGCCTGCGCGCAGAAATGGCTAGTGAACATTTTCTAAAAAATCAAACCTCATAAATAATGCAAACAGTGCTACTCAAAGATTGGGTGACACAACTTTGTCATCTATGACACTCAGGGTTTGTATCATCTGTCATTTATATCCATTTATCCACACACCCATTTGCCATTTTTATCCAAACGAGAATAAATACCCGACAACAGCCAGCACAGTCCACCAGCGGGTGGGGACTGTCCCCCGCCCTGGTGGGAATCCACCCCGCCACACCGCCTGAGGCAGTACCAGCAAGTCTGATGCGAGGCCTCACAAATGTCCAAGCCAGTATTCCTCTTGGAGCCATCGCTCCTGAAAGCTGATACAGAACGCCAGGGTGTTACGCCTGGCCATGCCCCTCCTGATGTCACTCATAACCAAGAATAACTGGAAGCAAATAAACGTCCAACAACAGAGGAACCAGCATGTAAAGCAGGTCTGACCCCTCAAGACAAAATTTCATCCATGGCATGGCCATTCCTGGGGATTGTCTTTAATGACGCAGAGAAACGCTTAGGATGAAACCTTCGATGAAATGGCTGCACATAAAAATGCTTGGCCAGGATGATCCTTATTTTTGCAAAACAACAGTCATTCAGGGAGAGAGAGACACACCACGCAGGCGAGACAGGAACCTTCCAGGGTAAGATGGCGGGTCACTCTGGTTCTCTCAGCTGTGTTCAGGGTCTCATCAACTTTCTGCAACGATCACGCATTTCCTTACCTTCCGAGAATTTTCTTTTACTTTCATGATAGATTATTTACCGCACTGAAAGGTGATTTTTTAAAAACTCAAACTCACCAATACCAGATGAACATTTAGGTACACTGATCATACAGCCAAAGCAAGTTATGTCTGTGCAGTTTCCAAAGGCAGGGAGATAAATCCTTACTGAATCAAGCTGAATGAAAAAAATCAGAATCAAAACGGCAGAGCCGATTCTTGGCTATTTTTTTAGAATAATAATCAGAGAAGGGAGACAAAATGAATATACAAATATACCTCTGGGTAGAGGAACTATGTGTGAATTATACTGCTTTACCTACAGTTTACTGGGTTTTCCCCATTTTCCATAAGGACCATTTTATACATTTTTTTACTATGAAATATTTATGAAGTAAAATAAAGCTTAGAGAAAAATACCACAAACAGCCTTACAGGTACTACCCACTAAAACGTCATAAACCGGTCAGAAAGCCTGACGCCCTGCGCCCCTGCCCACGGGCCCCCCTGGAGGCAGCCGCCGTCTCAGGCCTGTGGCCTGCTCAGCAGCGCTTTGCACTCTGCCGCACACACGTGGGCGTTCACAGGACGCTCCCAGCTGTCTACCCCTTCTCAGGGTCACCGCGCTGCCCAGGCGCCTCCGAGGGGGCTTTTCCCACACCCGATGTAACGTGTTTAAGTTGTCACTGCCCAGCACCCCCACCCTCACCCCGTGCCTCCTGAAAGCCCTGAGGGCAAGACCTGTCACTCCTCAGCTGCCCTGTCCCCCCGGACTGAAGCCAGCCTCAGGGACAGGCAAGGGGCTGTGCATCATCCGTGCCTACCCGCCTCCCTCCGCGGAGCAGACACAGCTCCCGGGAGGCAGGGCCAGCTGTGGGCCCTGCAGGGGGCTGGGGGGGCCACAGGGTCACGTCTGGGCAGAAGCCCGGGTGCAAGAGGGCTGCGGACTCACCTGGGCTTCATCAGTCGGCAGCTGGGCGACCATCCCTCCAGCGCCCACAGTGACGGGGGACACACAGCCTGGGGTGGGGGAGAAAGACGATGCCCTGCGAGGCAGACGCACACCCTGTAGGAAACAGGCAGGGAGGGCACACACACCTGGGCGACCATCGCAGGCAGGGCACCCGGCAAGCGTCCCATTTAATCCTCCCAACACCCTAAAGGCTGGTACTACTTCCACCCGCCCTGTTTCTCGGATGAGGAAACTGAGGCCCAAAGAGAGAAGCCACTCGCCCACGACCGCACAGCTGAGACCAGAGCACATACGGGCCCACGTGCTTGTCGCCTTTCAAGCGCGCGCCCAGACCCCTGTGCACGCTCCCGCTCCCGCGGGCTGGGGGGGCAACGGCACCCCTGCCTCCTCCCAGACCCCACTCTTGGGTCCGTGTTGGCCCGAGGCCCCACCAGGTACCCCAGCTGCACCCGACCCCGAGGATGCTTGCGCCCCGTCCCACGGGGTGACCGTGAGGTTCAACCAACAGAGACCCGAGAGGATCCGGCAGCGAGCGGCGCACGGTAAGGGGCACTGCCGGCAACTGCTGTTACCACGGCGCCAGGCAAGTCTGTCCCCAGAGCGCGACAGGGCCGCCTGGGGGCCTAGGCGGGGAGCTTGGGGCACTGCGAAGGGTACACGCAGCCCAGCTTGATTCTCCTCCTCGTCCTACATGCTCAGGGGCAGCGGGGGTGTCCTGCCACCCCTCCTGCCCTGCCTACTCTCCCCCAAATTACAGGCCCCATAGTATCTAGCCAGAATTGCGTTTTTAATTTGTGTTAATGTTTGCCTCCTTTTATAGCCACGCCCACCAACACCCAGCTTTATTTAAATCAGTCACACAGCGAGAGGACCCCTTTGAAGTCGGTTTAAGCTAAAAAATCCAAGCACGACTCAGTGAGCCAGTTTAAAGAAAAGGCAAAGTGAAGCAGGACGGGTGGCACAGGTCAGGGCCAACTGCTGGCGTTCAAGACACGCCGGCTCAGCCCTGGCCGCGTGGGGACCCGCCGGGACTCGCGCACCGCCCGCGACGGGGAGCTTTCTGTGCCACTGCCGCCTCTCACTGGACACAGGCTTTCCCTCTGCTGGGCCAGAATGCGCCTCCTAAGCCTCCAACCCCTCAGGACACCCAGACACACCCAGTCTTCTGCCCCAAAAGGCCCTTTAGCCACTGCGCTGTGTCCTCAAGCCAGAACCAGCAGGGGTGTTTCTTATTCAGAAAGGAGGTTCCTGGGCCCCTGCCCAGACCCTCTGAACCGGGGTGCGGCCCAGGCATCAGAATTCCCAAACAAGCTTCCAAGATAATTCTAATGCTTCGTAAGGAGTAAGAACCACAAGAAAACGAGTCTTTTTGAGGCCAAATGTCCCCAGTTTTAAGCTCATTGGGGGCACACACAGGACAGGTGGCAGAGAGGCCTGTGGGGCAGCCGCTGGCAGAGTCTGGGGACACCCGTACGCGCCACAGCTTGGGGAGGCCTGCTGCGGGGGGCGCCCAGCACAGGTAGACGAGGGAGGCTGCTCAACAGCCCAGCCGCACAGGATGGCCCCCCATGGCGGGTGTCGGTGGTGGGGCGGCTAAGAAGCCCCACTGAGTCACAAAGGAGCCACCCCTTCACGTCTGTAAACTCCAGGGCGCGGTGCCTGCCCACAGGAAGCGCGTGCTCCGGCTTAAAGCTCTCCAGCGGCTTCCAGGGCCTGAGACACCAGCAACGTCTTCGCAGCCGTCTTCGCAGCCCGCGCGGCCCTCACGGTCGGCCCCTGACTGATGCCCTCCGACCTCTCTCCTCCCTCTACAGGACACTTGGCCCCAGGCCCACTGGCCTTCCAACTGCGGTTCTTCCAGGGAATGCTCTTCTGCATGTGGCTCCTCCTCGCCACCAGCTCAAAGGTCCCCTTCCCTGGAGAATCCCCCTCTCCCAGGCCCCCAAGCTACAGCACCAACACTCCCCCCCATCTTCTTCGAGCACACACAGCATCAAGTGAAAACTGTCTTTTTAAAAAGTTGCTTTCCAGTTCGTCCCGTCTTCCCTCCATCAGAACGGACGCCCCAGGAAGGCACCCAACATGGAGATGAGTGAATAGATAAGCAAACTTCTAGCACCAGCGAAGACACAAAAACCAGCCCTCTCGCTGTCCCCTGCGGGAACCAAGTCCCCCACCTTTCTGGAGAGTGGGCTGGCAGTGCGCGAATCCCCAAACCCCAGCAACTGTGTTCCTGAGACACTGCCCGTGGCAATAAAAGCTCCATGTAAAAGGTTTTTAGAGAAAAAAGATGTTTATTGGAGCACTGCTCCTCGAGGCAAAAGACCAACCAGCCAACCACAAACTTGGACACAAGTAAGTGTCCATCAGTAAAGAAACGGCCAACTGCGTGGCGGGGTAGCCATACCGCGAAGGGGCAGGTGGCCTCTAGGAAGCGGTTAGTTCTGCATCTGCTGACATCTCTGCAATGCCACCGAGTGAGAAAAGCAAGGTGCCTGGTTTATACCCAACGCTAACCCCTGTGTAGAGATGAATGGGCACACATGGGTGTCTGTGCTTCTGTGCAGCATGTCCAATTCGCAGGATGGTGGGGCAAGACGGGCATCAGGTGGGGCCTCAAGGGGACAGTGTGGGAATGAGAAGGGGGTTATTGACTTGATTCCTTTGGTTGGGTCCCTGGGGGCAGTGACTGCGTATTACTGTCATAGTTTCTTGAAACAGTTTAATTTTTAAAAAGGCATTCTTTCCGGACTGGCAGTTGCTGACTCCTATCCTCACACCACGGAGTCAAGAACACTGCTCCTCTGGCCAAACGTGGACACGACCAGAGCCAACTTATATACACGCGGCCCGGAGGGCCTGGGCCCTGACACCTGTAGAACTGCAGGAATGCCTTCATCTATTTAAAATCACAAGAAAAAAAGGTGAATCTAATCCCGGATTATGTTTGTCTTTATAACAATGCAATCACAAACTATAATTTACAATTTTGGGGGGAGAGAAAGAAGCCTGTGAAGGCACAATGGCCCTGTAAGGACATGTGCATGGGGCTGGCGACCGTGGAACCTAGCGTGGCCTGAAAGATGTGTGGCTAAAAGGCAGTGGCTGCCCATCCCTCTCCTTCCTTCCATTGTTTTGAAGGGGAGAATTGTCATGGGGAAAGATCCTGCAACTTTGTCTCAGATGAGCCCAAAGAAAAAAAGGATTTGGACCCCCATTTGTGTGGTGGTTAAGTGTGGGGGCTCTGGAACCTGGATGGGTGGGTATAAAGTGATTCACTTAAAGTCTCTGAACCTCAGAGTAAAATGGGGATGATGAGGGTCCTTAACTCAGTTACTGGAGGCCTGTGAATGAGGCAGACCCACCAAAGGGCCACGCATGGCACTCTGAGGGCCCAGTACACAGTCCGCAGACAAATCAGCCCCTGGTCAGGAGCGGGTAGGGGTCTTTGATCCCCTCTAAGGGGGCACTTACAGAGGATGCAATAGAAACAGCGCCCACGTCCTGTCACCCACACACTTCCTGCCCTTCCAAGCTCCCAGCCCATCCAGGGCGTCTATGAGCCAGTCAAGGCTGAGAGAGGCAGGAAGGAGCAGGGGCATCGGGGACCCCAGGCTAGGAGACTCGTGGGGCTAGAAGGGAGACGACCCTGCTAGGCAACCTGTCCCGGTGTATACCGTCTTTCACTTGCACTTGTGGGAGGGGCACATCCAGATATTCCCCCACCCCCACTCAACCCCACAGCCACACACAAAAACATCCAGCAGCATCCAAATATGACACAGATGGACAGACAAGACAGGTAACCAGTGGGCGAGACACACCCGCCATGCTCACAGACACGCAGATAGAGAGGAAAAGCCTCGACACGGGATGGAACCGTCACACAGAGACCTCACGGACATGGGGGGAAGGCAGACACCCAGAGACGTGGACACAGGTCTTCACCAGCGATAACAGCCCCGCCAGAGACAGGCAGACTCCCACAGGCAAAGCCAAGGGCTCAGCAGGCCACCCGGGCCCACGCTGACTCAGTGGCCTCCGCACCTACGGCCAGAGGCGCGGGTCGGGCTGACGCACACGCGCTCGCACGCGCCCCCCACCCCGGGTCCGCAGTCCTCGCCTCAGGCCTCCCCCTGCCCCGGGCGAGGGTGGGCGCAGGGCGGCCGGTGGAGGACCCCGCCCTTCCCTCTCCCGCCTCCGGCCCGCAGCGGGACTCACCGCCGCTCCGCCGGGACAATGAACGGCGCCCATTAGGCCCTCCCGGCCGCACTGCGTCTGCGCCACGGCGGACTACGTTTCCCAGAAGCCCGCGCGGCCTCCCCGCAGAGCAGAGCCCACCCGAGAGCCGCCCCGAGAAAGTGTCAGCTCTTCCCAGGACGCGTTTCCTGCACCAGCTTCAGTTCTTGGAGTTTTGTGCTTTATAAGTTAATTTACTCTCCCAGCCGAGCTACTTCCAGGGAGGGCACGCTGGGGCAGAGCCAGGCCCCGCTGGGCCCCCTGCACCGCGACCCGCAGAACGTGTGCCGTGCCCGCGTGGCCGCAGAACTGTGAGCGGCACCCAGCCCTGGGTGGTGACTAAGGGTTTTCTAAAATTAAATATTTTATTTTGATGTAAGTGTAGATTTCCACGCAGTCGTGGAAAATAATAGGGAAACCTTACAGAGATCCCGAGTACTGTCAGTCTCCCCCCAGTGGTGACATCTTGCAGTACCACGAACAGGAAACTGATGTGGACGTTGTCAAAATTTACATTTCCACCACCGCGAGGATCCCTCATATGGTCCCTAGGTAGCCACACCTACTTTCCTCCAGACCCCACCCTTCCTTAACCCCTGCCACTAATTTGTTCTCCTTCCCTACGATTTCATCATCTCAAAAACGTTACACTTTTTTTCCCCATAATTCTCTGGAGATTATCCAGGTTGTTATGTTATTAATAGTTCATTATTTTATTGTCTACTGATATTCCACCTTATGGATGTACCACTATTTGGGTACCACATCTGGGATGTTTCCAGTTTGGGGCTATTCCAGGTTGTTTGTTTTTAATCGTGGTAAGAGCACATAACATGAAATGTCTCCGCTAATTTTTAAGTGTACAATACAGTATTGTTAACTATAGGCACGACGCTGTACAGATCTCTAGACCTTATTCATCTCGCATAACCAAAGGTTCATACCTACTGAACTCCCCCTTTTCCCCCTCCCCAGACCCTAGCAACAACCATTCGATTCTCTGCTTTTGTGTGTTTGAATAGTTTAAGTTCCTTATACAAATGCAGTATTTATCTTTCTGTGTCTGGCTTATTTCACTGAACACAATGTTCTTAAAGTTCACCTGTGTTGTTGAATACGGCAGGATTTCCTTCTTTTTTTAAGGCTGAAAAATATTCCATTGTATATCTATACCACATTTTCTGTATCCATTCATCCACTGATGGACACTTCCACATCTTGGCTCTCGTGAATAAAGCTGTAATGAACAATGAAGTGCAAATATCTAATCAAGGTTCTGCTTTCAATTCTTTGGATAAATACCCAAAAGTGGAACTGCTGGATTATATGGTATTTCTATTTTTAATTTTTTTGGTGGAACCTCCGTACTGTTTTCCATAGTGGCTGTGTCATTTTACATTCCCACCAGCAATGTACAAAGGTTCCAATTGCTCCACGTTTTCTCCAACACAATTGTTTTTGTTTTCTATATAGCCATTCTAACAAGTAAGGTAATATCTCATTGTAGTTTTGATTTACACTGAGATGTTGAGCATTTTTCATATACATATTAGACATTCGTATGTCTTCTTTAGAGAAATGTCTATTCATTTCTTTGCCCATTTTTTGGAAGAGTTCCTTACATATTTTGGATATTGACCCCTCAGATATTTGGTTTACAAATACTTCCATTCCATAGGTCACCCTTTCACTGTTAACTATTTCCTTGTTACAGTTTTTTGTGTAAACATAATTCTTCATTTCGCTAGGATAAGTGCCCAGAAATGCGATTTCTAGGTCATATGGTGTCTGCATTCTTGGTGTTTTTGTTTTTAGAAAATAAATGCCAAGCTGTTTACCCCAGTGGCTGTACTATTTTACTTCCTACCAGAAATGTAAGAGACAGCCAGTTTCTCCAAATTCTTGCTAATATTTGATGTTGCCATTATGTTTTTTATTTTAGCCATTTTGAGAAGTATGCAGAGAAATCTCATTGTGGGGTATTTTCTTTTTTTGTAACTTTTAGTAACAGGCCTTAATTTTTAGAACAACTTTAGGTTTAGAGGAAAATTGAGCTGATAGTACAGAGTTCTCATATTCCCACCTCCCCTCAATTTCCCCTATTATTAAACACTTGCATTAATGTGCAGTGCACTTGTTGCAGTTAATGAACCTACACTAATCCTATTACTAAGTAAACCCCATAGTTTATATTAAGGTTGCTCTTTGTGTTGTGTACATCTGTGAGTTTGGCAAATACATAATACATGTGTGCACCATTATAGTGGCTTATCAAAGTTTCCCTGTCCTAAAATTGTCCTGTGCTCCACTTGTTCGTCGTCTTCCATCTCCATGAGCCCCTAGCAACCACTAATTTTTGTCTCCATGGTTTTGCCTTTTCCAGAATGTCATATATTTGGAATCTAACAATATATAGACTTTTCAGACATCCTTCTTTCATTTAACATTTAATATTCCTCCATTGTTTTTTGGTTTGTGGCTTGATAGCTAAAATCTTTTTACCACTGAATAATAATCTATTGTATGTACTACAATCTGTTTATCCGTTCACCTCTTAAAGGATATATTGGTTGCTTCCGTAAGACTGCTATGAACATCTGTGTGCAGCTTTCCTGTATGGACATGTGTTTGACTTATTTGAGTAAATACTTAGGAGCGTGACTGGTGGATGGTATGGTAAGATTATGTTTAGCCTTGTAAGAAACTGCCAGGCTGTCTCCCAACATGCATTCCCACTACAATGAGTAAGAGCTCATGTCACTCCATATCCTTGCCAGAATTTGGTATTGTGAGTTCCTTTTGAGTTTTTGCCATTTTAATAGGTGTGAAGTGGGGTCTCGCTTTAATTTGCAGCTCCCTAATGACATGATGGTGAGCGTCTTCCCCTGTGCTTACTTGCCATCTGTGTATCTTCTTTGGTGAGCTGTCTATTCAGATCCTTTGCACATTTATCCATTGGGTTGTTTTAAAAGTTCACTGTATATTCTGGATAAAAGTCCTTTATCAGTCATGTTTAGTGTCCCTTGCTTGCCTACAAAATGTAGAAGATTCAAATGAAAACTCCAAGTCCTCAGGGGATGAAGTTGCTTAAAGTTGGATGGGGATGGAGTCCCAGAGAGACTGAGTGGAGCAGAGCCCCTGTAATTTCTTAACTTACATCAGAGCCAGCTCAGAGACCTTGAGATCTGGTGTTAAAGGCTGACCTGCATCCCCCCTCCAAATTCATGTGTTGAAGCCGTAACCCCCAGTACCTCAGAAGGTAGCCATACTTGTAGATAAGATCTTTAAAGAGGTTACGGAATTAAAATGAGGCCAGTAGGGTGGATCCTAATCTCATCTGACTCGTATCCTTAAAAGAGATTAGAACACAGACACACACAGGACTGCCTGGTGAATTCAGTGAGAAGCCAGCCATCTACAAGCCAGGGAGACAGGCCTCGAAAGAAACCAACACTGCTGACACCTTGATCTTGCCTCCAGAACCCTGAGAAAATACCTGTGTTTCAGCACCCCAGTCAGTGGCATTTTGTTCTGACTGTCCTCCCAAACTAATGTACCTGGGGAGGTGAGGGTGGAGGCCCTTCTGGAGCCGCCCACACCCTGAGGCCTTGCGGGTCTGAAGCTCCTCTTCTGCACAGCCACGACCCCAACCTCACCAGCAGCTGCCACCTGGGACAGCCACTCTCTGCCTTCCTCCAGTAGACACCACTGCTGCTGCCCCCATCTGGTGTGTGTGCGCGTGTGCGATGGAAGAGTGGGACCAAGGGAGGGGCTGCAGGCTGAGCCTGTTTCTTCCTGAGCGCCCGGCTCTGGATCCAAGATGGCAGCTGGCAATGTGTGCGATGGTGTAGCTATGCCCAGGTGTCCTGCCCCTCCACGTATCCCCGGGGATGTCTCATCCGATGTGGTCCCAGCTCATGAGTACTGGTTCTGTGATGGGGCCCATTTTTATTTGATCCAGTGTCTCCAAATGACCCAGTCCAAGAAGAGCTAGAGATATACTACTTTCAGGAAGAGAGAGAGGAACTACTGTCAGAGAGCATTAACAGTACCATGGGCTGCCGCCGCATGTGCCACTGTTTTTGGCAAAGGCTGGAGTGTGTGCCCTCCCACCGAGTGAGCCAGGCTATCATCCCATCCATGAGGACTCACTGCCCTCATGGCCTAATAATCTCCCAAAGACTCCACCTCCTAATACTACCACCTTGGGGATCCAAGGGAGGGAGGAAGACGGGGACGCATGCAGTCTGAGCACTGTCCCTGCAGAACACAGGGAGCACGGGCCCTGGGTCCTCCCCTGCTCCTGGGGCTGGCTTCCTTGCCAACTATGGCCCCACTGGACTTTCTACACCAGCTGAGAAGACCCTTCTCCCACCCAGGAGTCTTTGCAGAACCTTGAAAATCCCAGAGCTGGGGCCTGTGTTCTTGAATCCAGCAATCAACTGCCCCCCATTTAAAACTCCAAAGGCAGCAGACCTTGCAACGGTAGAGTTGGGTGGCCAGGCTGAGCCTCCCTCCCACCCTCAGGACCAGGAGACCAGGGTGAGAGACCAGCAGGCACCTAGTTTTGACATGCAATTCTTTTCTTCTTTTTTAAAATTAGATTCTACTCTGGCATGGTTGATAACTTTCTGAGCATTTAGACATATATGAAATATTCATGCATTTTAAAAGATTACTTAGTCTTCACTTTGAGTCTTGCTTGGAAGACCCTTGTTCTTATTCTTATTGAAGCAACATTTTCAGGATATCCAAACTTTTGTTCCCCAGAGAAGGAAATACTCAGATTTAAAAAAAAGTTTCAGCTGATAAGTTCACATAATAGCTTGCTTTTACTGCCCCCAGGAAGCCTTACATCTCTTTTACATGTTTTCAAAACATTGTGTTTTCTATTTTGAACTTTCTACATTCATTTTAAGCCACTTATGTCTATATAACTTGAGTTATTTTCCTTTTGATCGTCTTTTCTTTGAATTATTCAGAATTTTATTATTTATTTTCTCTGAAAACACTGTATTTTAAAATGTAAAAAAAGGGTAGTAATTGAAATCTCAGGAATATTGGGTAGAAAGAAATCCTCAGTGATGCTGGTCCCAGTGCGAGTTACTCTGGATCTTCTGTGAATCAGTCTCCTTTTGGGAACCGTATTCCTATATAGTCCCAAGGGCAGCAGCCCCAGAGGACCACCTGCTGCCCTTAGGAGTGCGACATTCCACGAGATACATGCACTCAGAGTTCCTGTCTCCTTGGACACAAGGAGCACAAACACTTCATGGGAAAGCTGTATCTGGAGTGGGCAGTGGGAGTTTTTTCTGCTATAATCTAGAAATGTTGATTCCCTCAACTTGTCATCTGGCTCCAGTGTCACCTCCTGTAAAGGTCAAGGTCAGTCCATCTGGGGTAAATTGCCAGATTTATTAGTTGTCAAAACTTCTCTCTAGTAGCTCGTGTGTCTTCCTCGTAAGTACACCAGTCCTATCAAATTAGGGCCCCACTCTCATCAGATCAGTTAACTAAATTTCCTGCTTAAAGGCCCAGTGTGCAAATACAGTCACATTGGGGCTTAGAGATTTAACATAGGAATTCGTGAGGGAGTCTTTAACAACCATTGTACAATCAAATATGGAATTTAATCAGCATCCTACCTTAGCAACCAATGAATGGAATCTCTAAATTAGATTTTGAGCAATCTTAACCCTATAATTTCAAACAGTGTAAGACATCCCTCAATATACAAAGACTCTTAGTTGAAGTTTTTTGCCTTGATGCTAGAAGTTCAAGATCTGAATTCTAAATTACCCAAAGTAGTCAGACACCAGCATCATATACACTCTTTGGACTTAGCATTCCTTTTCCTCTTTAAACTGCCACTATCCAGGACCCTAGACCTCTATTCATCTCAGTGACTACAACTAATAATAATTTGCAGGGCATTTGCACAGTGGGCACCATGAGTTGTTACATTCCTAGACTAGAAAAGAAACGGGAGTCTGGCCAGCCCCATCTCACCTAAAAACCAATCTCTAACCCCTCAAATTTTCCAAAGATTCTACTGCCTATTACCCAATCTTCATACCAAATTCTATACAGGCTAAGTTTAATTATAAACACATGAGCAACAAAAGCCAAGAAATGAAGTACTAGGGGGACAATAGGCACTCTGAGGAACCACAGCCTTAGAAAGCACAAAACTGGGGTGGCTCCAAAGACCAGAGCTGGGGCACCAGCACCATTCCTTTGGGAGCTGCCATTAAATGACATATCCAACTACCTTTCACACTCCAAAGAGACTTGATTGGCCAGGCCCATCAGAACCATATGGTAGGGAACAGCTGGTTATTCAAAGGAAAAGAAGAGGTGATGGAGTCCAGAGGGGGAAGCTAGGAAAACTGGGCAGAGAAAAACAGAAAGATAAGTATGGTACGTTTAATTTTTGATGAGTTTATTCTACAATACAGGCCTGGAATTTTTTTTTTTTTGGTACAGCACACTTTTACTTGTGGCTATATACACTTTTCTTTTCTTTCAATAGCTGCAAATAATTCTACTGAATGAATACACCTTAGTTAACTTACCCACTTACCTACTACTCTAATAGTTTCCAATGGTTTCCCATTAAAAAATTTTTTTTTGTTTTTTGCCATTACACATTTATCTACCTTTGTACATGTTGGTTTCTGAGGAATAATGATTCAAATGGTATATACATACAGAAATTTATATAACTGACAATGGGATTGTTTTCATACATTCACCAAAACTGGCTATGATCATTCTTCTATTGGGAAAAAGTAGATATAGCATCACTTTATTTTGCATTTCCTTGATGAATAGTGATACTGGATAATTTTCATTAGCTCTTATTTCATCTTCTTTGAACTGGGCATCAGCACTGTCCATTTTGCTATTGAGTTGCAAATGTTATGGATTCGTCATCATGCTTTGAGTATCAAGATTATCCTTTGTTATCCTTCTGAAAATATTTTCTTTCACTCTCTCACTTGTCTACTAACTCTGTTTTCCACACATAAATGTTATTTAAATGTTTAATGTCAATTCCTAGCTTATGAGTAATGCTTGAGGTCTGCCTAAAACCAAGGCTACAGAAATAGTTTTTCTTCTACATTAGTATCAGATACTTAGATCTTAAATCTTTCAGAACTTCAGGAGTATGCAAGGTATGGCTGTATGTCTTCCCAGAAAGCTGTATGTCTCAATGCTAGTAAACAAACCCATCTTGTCTCCACTGCAATGAAAAATCCTATCATACATAAGTGAGTCTCAAAATGCAACATGCCCTGGATAAGCACGCATACCCTAGCCTTTATGCTGAAATAAAGGGGGAGCCCCAGAGCTCTGTTTTCTGGCAGTCCTGTCCTCTGCATAAGCATACCTCACACGGCTCTCTGCCGTAGGCAGCAGTCCAAAGGGAATCCAAGAGCTCTGGGTGCTCCAGGTAAGAGTACTCCTCCAGGGCAGGAAGTCACTACTGAACGGCACAGGACTTCTTTTCAGGTAGAAATGTTCTAAAATTAATGTGGTGGCTGCACAACTCTGAACTTACTAAAAATCATGGATTTGTATACTTTAAATGGGTAAATTGTACACTTTGTAAATTATATTTCAATAAGGCTGTTACAAAACAAAAACCAAAACCCTCCACCAGCCCCTAAATCACTACAGAGAATGAAATTATGATCCTTGTTAAACTGTCAATTCCCTCTTCCTGTAACACAAGTTCCATGTGATGTGCCTTGGCACTATCATGACTTCTAACTATGCCTTGTATCTGACAGTTACCTTTAGTTTTCCTCATTCCGTTCCTCTAGTGCCCCTATGTTCTGGGGTTGGTAAGGCAGCCCCTCCCAGCACTACCTAGCTCCCTCTTTAGATAATTTTTCATCACAGTACATATCACATACGTATTTCAGTTGTCTTCTCGCACTAGATCTGTTAAGGGCAAAAGCCTTTCTATATTGTGCTCCCTTTTGTGTCACTGGCATTTAAAGCAATGCCTGGCACTTCAGTGATGCTTAGCTAATGTTAACTGAATACTACAGTCCTTGCCCTGTCATACTTCTACAAATGGTCAGAATCAGCTTGTCAACCTTATACTGGGATTTCCATTGGAATATCAATGATTTTCCATATTTAACTTTGGAATATCTCTGCTAGACTGAGTCTTTCTATACAGAGACATATCTACTTTTCCATTTACTCTCTTTTAATATTTAAAAAATGTTTAACATCTACAATCATTAGCGAATTGCAGTATGTAGGTTCAGTTTTGGTATCAGTCTTGTCAGTCTCCTAGAACAAGATTGGGAGCTGCACTGTATTCATTTTATGCTCGAGCACAATTTAAATATTGCAGGTTCTTTCCTATAGGGGAAAGTGTTGAACTATCTTTTCCAATTTATTTCATGGCTACTCATCTATTCAACTTTTCTTTGCTGTTTTGTTTCTAATACTATCCCCTGGCTAGTCCTACATTCTATTAAATGCTCTTGTTCTAATTGGCCCATTCTCACTTCTAAATGCCAGGTGAAATGATAGTTCATGAAGAAAGCTACCGTCCTTACATTTATTCAGAGGGAGCAGTGAATCACCCTGTTACCTTGGGCATCACAAACCTTTTCAATTATAAATGTGGTCATCTTTCCTACCTGTTGGGAGAGTAGAGCCCTCTCTTTTCTCTACAATCTGTCAGTTTCTTAGTCTTGACCTACTGACTCATTTTGCTGGCAGTTGAACATAAGGAACCCTTTAATGTCACAATATGCCAAGGATTATGTGCCAAATCCTTTAAATGGATTATCTAACAGAGTTTTCAAAACAAGTGTCCTAAATGGGAATGTAACATGAATGTTTTTATTTTTAAAAGATTAGCTGAGTGTTAAAAATGCACTTGAGGAGAGCAAGAGGGATAATGGGTTATAACACTACTGCAGAAATCCAAATTAGATGGTTGCATCTTAGACTGTGATGACGGAACATGGGTTGGAAAAAAGTGGATGGATTCTAGAGGTATTAGAAGATTGCATCTAGAGGACTTAGTGGTATGGGGATAAGGAGAGGATAACTGAGGATGAATCTCCACTATGAACTCGCTGATGATGAGCCAGATGCACACTTTGCCTGAAGGCTTTCCCACATTCTTTACATTCATAAGGCCTTTCTCCAGTATGAATTCTTTTGTGTAATGTGAGATGGGCAATCTGGCTGAAGGCTTTGCAACATTCCTTACATTCATAAGGTTTCTCTCCTGTATGAATTCTTTGATGTAGAGTAAGGGATTTACGGTGCTTAAATGCTTTCCCACAAACATTACATTCGTAAGGTTTCTCACCTGTATGATACCTTTGGTGACAAATCAGGGATGCCCTCTGTCTGAATGCCTTCCCACACTCAAGACATTCATATGGTGTTTTGCCAGTGTGGAGTCTCTGATGTTGAACAAGATAGGAGCCATCGCTAAAGGCCTTCCCACATTCAATACACTCATAAGGCTTCTCGCCAGTATGAACTCTCTGGTGTTGAACAAGGTGTGCAATTTGACTGAAGGACTTACCACATTCCTTACATTCATAAGGTTTCTCTCCAGTGTGTATTTTCTGATGTTGTGCAAGGTGTGAATGCTGACTGAAGGTTTTGCTGCATTCCTTACATTCATAAGGTTTCTCTCCAGTATGAATTCTCTGATGCTGAGTGAGGTGTGTGCTCTGCCTAAAAGCTTTCCCACATTCCTTACATTCATAGGGTTTTTCTCCAGTGTGAACTCGTTGATGAAGAGTAAGTGAGCCACGATAGCTAAAGGCTTTCTCACAAATATTACATCCATAAGGTTTCTCTCCTGTATGACTTCTCTGATGTACAGTCAGGGTTGAGCCATGGCTAAAAGCCCTCCCACACACATTACATTTGTAAGGTCTTTCTCCTGTATGAATTCTCTTATGCTGAGTAAGTCCTATGTGATCAGTGAAAGCCTTCCCACAATCAATACAATCAAAGGGTTTCTCTCCAGTATGACAGTATCTCCGGTGACGTATCAGAGAGGCATTCTGCCTGAAGGCTTTCCCACAATCAATACATTCATAGGGTCTTTTTCCAGTGTGAATCCTTCGATGATGAGCTAAGGATGAACAATCACTAAACGCCTTCGCACATTCAATACATTCGTAGGGTTTTTCTCCAGTATGAACTCTCTGATGTTGAGCAAGATGTGCAAGCTGGCTGAAAGCTTTATTACAGTGCTTACATTGGTAAGGTTTCTCTCCAGTATGAACTCTCTGATGTTGAATAAGATGAGCATTCTGAATGAAGGCTTTCCCACATTCGGGACATTCAAAGGGTTTTTCTCCTGTGTGTATTCTCTGATGTTGAGCAAGGTGGGCACTCTGGCTGAAGGCTTTCCCACATTCAATACATTCATAGGGTTTCTCCCCAGTATGAACTCTCTGATGAAGAATAAGGGTTGAGATTTTGCTGAAAGTTTTCTCACAGTCACTACATTTCAAAAGTTTATTTTTTTCATACACTTGCTTGTGTTTTATCACAAATGAATGTGTTTTTAAGCTTTTCTTATCTGTGTCAAAATTATATATTCCCTTTTCAATGGGAAAAACCTGTTTTATATAAGATAATCTATTCAGATGAAAAACTGTCCCAGATTTGTTAGAGTGGTCTGCTTCTTCAGTAAGTGGGTCTATATGACTGATTGTCTCTTGCCTGAAATGTGTCTTCTGGCTTACCAGCTCCCTTTCAAAAAGGTCTTCACATTTCCAGTTTTTCCCTAATGTGGAACATTCAAGGTCATAGCTTGTATTTCTTTCCATTATCATTGCCTGGAATAATTTTTCTTCATAAATGTCCTGGTTTGGAGATAATTCCTTGGTCATCCACACATACTCCAACTCTGAAAGATAATAAAAAAGCAAGTGTCTCCTATTTAATGCTAGGAGAAATGCTAGCTTTCATTCCCAAAATGAAACCATGTCACTCAGTTATTGAGGCCCACAGAGGTCTATGTTTTTGACAGTGCGTAGAAGTTAGGCAAAGCAACCATCCTTGCATTTCTGGAATAAATCCTCCTTGGCTATGACATATTATTTCAGTAATGACTTATTTAAGATTTTCTACCAAACAATATTCATACTTGAAATATGTCTATAATTTCCTTCTTTGGTGCTTTTTTGGTTAGATTTTGGTATCAAATGTTATTGTCCTCAGAAACACAGTTTTTTAAAAGTTCTTCTTTTTTTGGGGTGGGGGGGGGATAATGTAACATTTCCAACATGCTGATATTTTTCCTGCAAGATTTTGTAGAACTTATTTGTTAAACTACTACGAATTGCTTCTTTTCTTGGAGGAGGCAATTCTTAGATAACTTTCTATATTTCTTCCAAAGTCACTAGTCTGTTTAAATTTTCTCTCTCTTCTGGCGTCAGTGTAATTTATAGTCTCCTAGAATACCAATTTCATCTAGGTTTTCAAATTATTTACAGAGAGTTGAGGAAAACACTCATGATTTTTGTAAGTACCTATGCACTGGTGGCTATTTACCGTTATTTCTTTTCTTGAGTTTGCTCTCATTAGTCTTGACAGTTTATATATTTTATTGGTTCTCTAATGAAGCACCTATATAATTTTTTTCATTAGCTCCACTGTTTTCTAATTCCTTTTTTATCTTAGGAGTATATCACCATATATAACTTATTTTTGTTTTCCTTAATTTTGTTATTTTTCTAATATCTTTAAGTGGATGCTTAATTCATTTATTTTTAAATTATTTCTTATTTATGTACATCATTAGGACTATAAGTGACCTACCAATAATCTTCTTGAAACTGAGAAATTCCTACTGGGAAGGCCCCACTACAGGACACAGAATGAACTGTGACTGTCTCACCTGAGGCTCATTTCCCTGCGATATATATCTATAGTCTCTTACCTAGCTTTTTAACCAAACAGCTTTCAAGCAAAGAAAGGAAAAAAAAAATCTGAAGAAAATAAACTGGGCCAAAAGTACCAATGTGTATAATAAAAGTGGGGAGATGATGGACAAAGAAGGAGGACATAATATTAGTGAACTAATTTCTTTATCTTCCATATGGGTATTAAAAGAGGATGTTTTGAATCTCAAGTAGTTGAACTTTAAAATATAGACTTAAAAATATGTCAGACATAAATGTAACAACTTGCAGGACTAAAACCCTTTCCAATTCAAGGAGTAGAATGGTGTAAAGGGGGAAAAAAAGATGTAAACAACAAAGCAAGAATAAACAACTACAGCAACAAAAAACACCAAAGAGAAAGGTAATTAAAAGCAGATGGATGAACAAGGCTATAGTTCCTATTGTTAAGCCAATAAACTCACATTTTAAAGAATGGAAAATCTTTAAACCAATTCAAAAAACTAAACACAAATTTGTCTAAAGAATTCAGAAATGTTGAAAAGTCAGGGGTGATTACAACAGTAATGTACTTGAGGAGCAGAACTAGGTAAACATCAATGGAACATAACAGAGTCCAGAAACAGACTGAGGTATTTATAGGAAATCAGTAATAGTAAAGGTGGTGTATCATACCAGTGAGGAAGAGAAGATCCCACTGAAAAAATGGTGTTAGAACCTGAAGTTTTAATTTGGGAGGGATTTTGAGAGGTGTTTTCCAACAAGTAAAATAGAGAAGAGCATTTTGAGACCATTTCCCCCAGCTCTAGGTAGCCTGCACTTACCTGGGCACAGGCCCCTTGTTATCTCTCTTTTCATCACGAAAGGCTCTTCATCTTGTTCCAGTAAGGAGATCACATCTGGTTTAGAAATGCAAAGACCTACATATAAGACAAGATAAGAAAATTGGCTAGGCTGTAGATAGTCCAGAGCTATGACCCAGTCCATCTAGTATTGAGAGGACACTGTAGGAAAATGCTGATAAAGGCATAAAAAACTACTGAGGCATTAAGACTTCTTTAGGGAGGTGGAAGCAGGAAGATACCCTACCCAGTGAAACCAGGTTTCTGTAGTTCTCCAACATCACCGTCTTGTACAAAGTCCTTTGAGCGAGATTCAGCCATTCCCACTCATCTTGGGAGAAATCTATGGCCACATCTGTGAAAGTCAATGAATCCTGAAATGACACAAATATAATCTTGGTCAATCAGTGTTCTTGCCCCCACTTACATGGCTCCAGGGTAAAGGGTTATGCTGTTCACACTTTAGGGGTAAAAAGTGCAGAGTAATTGCTCTGAGGGTCTAAATGATCCAGGTTACATAGTACTTCCTTGACAACCTTTTCTGCCTGATCACATTGTACATATTAGTTAAAAGAAAAAATATGAGACACACGCTCTGCTCTTGGACCATTTCCAATTTTATGGTGATGAGAAGACATTTTCTGATGAAGACATGTTCACTGCAGTCAAAACAAAATATCAAGTACTGAATTATTTTAGCTATGTTAGGAACTAGATCACTTTTCTACAGGGAGTAAAGAGCTCTCAGACTACAAGGGAAAGTTTCAAGGAAGGATGTTACCCAGATGAACATGACTTCAATCTCCAGAACATTTTCTAAGAAATCTTAAGTGTTCTTGATATGTTAAAAGGTGTGTCTAAAAGGAAAAAATGCCTAGCAGTATTCTTTAATTTTGAAGTAAAAATATATTTGGGTTAGGAAAAAAGAATACATTTGTAAAGTTAGTTTTTGATAATCTGCTGAGAAGTACAGAGAGATCATATAAAATGAGCACAGTCAAGCAACCTGTTTTGTTCCATGGACTGAATTTCCTAACCAGCAAGGGATGCCAATCATCCATTCTGTGGTTTCTGACAGATATTCCATTTATTTTGTCATTTCATTTGTATCAACATCTAAGAATGAGTTTTAAACAAACATCAGTCTTGAATGAAACCACAGAAAAAGATCAGATCATTCCAAAGAATTCAGACTCTGGCACTGACTAGCTGGACAATTCTGGCCAAGTTAATTAACTTCCCTGTGTCTTGGTTTCCTACCTGAAAAATAGGAATCATTTTAGTACCTGCCTCATAGTAGCATTGTGAAAATTTCATGAAACAACAGGCACAGTACCTGGCTAAGTGCTCAAGAATTGTGACCTATGATGATGATGGAGGGATAAGAAAGGAGGAGGAGGCTGATAACAGGTGAAACATTTGGCTTAATGCTTCAGTAAAAGTTTTATTTATATTTTATCTGATTTCATAATCTCAGTGTACTATTGTAGTTAAGAACATGATCTCTGAAGCCAGACCACCTACATTCAAATCCAGCTCTGTTGGGTAAACCTAAGCTAAGAGTTTTGTTTTCAACCATTGAGGATATTATAAATAACTCAAAAGAGCAGTCTATTGTATTTATATATATGTATTTACCATTTTTGTTGTACTTCCTTCATTCCTCATCTTCTCAGTTCCTTTCTGGTGTAATTTCTATCAGAAGAACTTCCTTTAGTAATTCTTTTAGAACTATCAACAAGTTTTCTTACTTTTCCTTCATATGAGAAACTATTTCACCTTTGATCTTGAAGGCTATTTTTACTAGACAAAATTCTGGGTTGACAGTACTTTTCTTTGAGCACTTTGAAGTTGTTTTACTTCTTTATGACTTCACGATTTCTGATGAGAACTTCATCACTGTTATTCAAATCACTTTTGCCATATATGTTAAGCATAATTTTTCTATGGCCACTTTCAAGTTTTTTTCCATTGTCTTTAATTTTCAGCAGTCTGAGTAGAAGTTTCTGGACAGAGATTTTTTATTTTTTTTGCTGATCATGGATGGATCCACAGGTTTATGTCTTTCACTAAACTCAGGAATTTCTCAGCCATTATTTCCTCAAATATTTTTTCTACAGTCCACTTTCTGTTTTTTGGATTTCCATGGTACAAATGCTAAACATTTTGGTATTGTCCAAAGGGCCCTGATGCTCTGTTCATCTTTTTCCTCTCTGCTATGTGGATTAGATATTTATCTTAAGTTCACTGGCTCTTTCCTCTGTCATCTCCACTGTGCCACTAAGCCCATCCAATGAGCTTATCTTGGTAATTTTATTTTTCATTCCTTGTTGATACTTTCTTCCTTTGCTGGGACTGTCTTTCCATTTGTTTCAGGAATGTTCACCCTTACTTGTTTTATATAATATCTGTTTTAAAGTCTTTATCAAGTAATTCCAATATCTGTCACATCAATGTTAGTATCTGGTGATTCCTTTTCCTCTGTGAACTGAAATTTTCCTCGTTTTTCACTAGCTGAGTAATTCTGGATTGAATCCTTGGCATTTTGGATGAGACTTTATGTCTTGTTTAAATTCTATGCAGAATACTGGTATTTTGTTCAGGCTGTTAAGTTCTAACCAGTCTTCCGCAGGTTGCATTTCAAAGGCAGCCTCATTTTCAAAGCCTTTTCATTGATACTTGCTTCTGTCCTGCTGTGTACCACTCGGTAGCTGGCCCAAGACCTGACAGTGGTCTAACCCTTAGCTGGCCTCTCACAGACTATGGTATGCTCTTTAGGGTTAGACACATGCATGAGCAGCTTAGCGTAAGCCCAGGAGAGTTCATAAACAACTTTATGTGGTTATTGTCCAAAGCTCCTCCCTCTCTGTGATCTTTCTAGTATTTACCATTTCCCAAAGGCTCCCTTTTTTAGTTATCAAGCCAAAAAACTGGAACTCACTTATTCCATTTCATTGTGCACTTATGACTATACCACCCTCCCCATACCACAGGGCCAAGCAAGGAGAAGACAGAAGCAGAGAAAAAGCAATGACAATTTATCCCACGCTCAGGAACACAGCTTCTCTTATAAGAGAAAACTTATCTTATCTAGCTTTAGAGGCCTGCAGACCCCCACCACCACTGCTGGGGCCAAAGAAAACAGACTTTTTTAAAGTAGGATTTCCTCCCCCCACCCCCCAGCATTAGATCCCTTTCTCCTTTCTTGAGACTGAACTAGAAGGTTTCTCTTGGGTTCTTTCTATCCACGCCAATACTCACTTCTAGATTGTGTGTTTACCAAATCCACGCCAGGAGAGATTAGGACACAGGTGGCAGGCACACGGCAGGTTTGGTGGTACTTCACATTTGGGGCTTTTTCCCCAATCTGCCTGCTACTATCTACTTTTTAGAGCCCTCACATTGCTGCTCCGTACATGCTGTTCTGGTTTTGCAGAGGGAAGGACAGGGTGGGGTGAGGACAGCCCACCTTACCCAGAACCAGGAATCTCCCAAATTCAGTGTACATTATTATTTTTTAAATTAATATTCCACTGGAAACAAAGAGGCTCCAGATACTCAGTGTTTCTTGTGGATCAGGCATTATACTGCAGTTCTTCAGCTTATGTCAGCATGCATACATACACACATGTGACTGGGTACAAAGGCAAACAGTGGCTATACAGGGGAACAGGAGCACAGTTTATGCCTATATAGCACTAACTACGTGCCAGGTACTTTTCTAAACATTTAAAATATATTAACTGGATAGGCGGAGCCAAGATGGCGGCGTGAGTAGAGCAGCAGAAATCTCCTCCCAAAACCACATATATCTATGAAAGTATAACAAAGACGACTCTTCCTAAAATAGAGACCAGAGGACACAGGACAACATCCAGACCACATCCACACCAGCGAGAACCCAGCGCCTCGCAAAGGGGCAGCCGGAGCCAGGCCACGCCCACAGGTACAGCGGAGATAAACTCCACAGCAGCCCGGCAGGAAGCAGAAGACCTGTCTGCGCACAGCTGCCCAGCACAAGCCACTAGAGGTCACTGTTCTCCCAGGAGAGGAAGGCCATAAACCAACAAGCAGGGACGTTCTTCCAGCCATCACTCGTGCCAGCTCTGCA